ATTAAAATTATTAAAAAATTGTATAATATTTTTATTATATAATTAATATAATATTAATATATAATAAAAATATTTTGTAAAATTGAAAAATCCAGTAAAGTATTGCCAAACAAATTACTGAGAAGCAGATTAGTTTAGATTCAGAGTTTGAAATTATAGGTGTAGAAGCATCAGGTGATGTTGACTATGCATTTAGAATGAGTAAAATAAATAGCAGTTCAGAAGAGTTGGTGTGCATTACTGAAGCCAAAAGATTTACAGAAGAAATAGGAATCATTCAAAACATTGTGCAACTTGAAAGCGCTTTTTATTCAAATAAAAAACAAAAAAATGAAGATATATATGAAAATTTTAAAGATTATTATGATTACCTTTATGGTATTTTTACCACTAGTAGGTTTTGTCAAAGAATTATAATTCACGCAACATTTGTTTTGCTAACATTGAATTTTTTTAATTGTAGCTAGTGAATGGTATTTTATAATGTATGCACTAAAGAAGATATATCTCTCAGAAAGATATCTTATTGAAATCACTCTTAAGGCTTTGAATGAAAGAAGTGAAAAATGTCATGAAAATAATTGTAGGCTTGTTGAAGGACAGAGTGGAAGCTGATGATTCTTTTGCTAATAAGGAAAGTAGAGTAAAGAATATATTAAATAGAAAAGTATAATGTATTCCGTATGCGTTTTTATCTACAAGCCTATTGGCTAATGATATTCCTGTCTGTAATTAATAATCCACTTTGTGTTGTCAAGAAATAAAACTGTTATTTTTCATTCTGCTCTTATCAGCATATTGGAAATATCATCTATACATTAAGCCATTAGCAACTTTCATTTTATTTTTTTTTACCATTATTATTTTTTACTATTATTATTTTTTCTATATACCGGAAATGATATAATAAATTTACACAAATTCGTTTTTATAACAAAATATTATTTTACAGTATATGCAAGAGTTTTTACCTTCTTAGTAGTCAAATTTCGCATACATAGTTTGCATATGTATTTCGTGAATTTATTTTATTGTATTGTTATCGATGTATATTTGTAATTGAGAATTTTTGAAATTTTTTTTTTATTTTGAATATACTGTATTTGATATGGCAAATACACAATCTAAAATCGATTTAAACTGTTCTCAAGCATCTAAATCAATTGATCAGATAATAACCGTGATGACGCTTAAGCATCACAATTGATGACGATATTTATAGAATTAAATACTTGAGCATACTTTTTCTGTTTTTTGTAATGTTCGCTATACTATCTAAAAAACCTAATGAAAAAAATTTCTTTTCGATCAATCATTCAAGTTTCAACTTTAGTTACGTCAGCTCCTTTTAAAGATTTTAGCAATTTAAAATTCTTTAAAATGAAAAAAAATCTACCCAAGCTTTTCAGTTTTAGGTCTTCTTTACTAAGAAAATATTAAATTTAAATGAGCGAATAGTAGAATAACAGTATTAATTAAAGTTTGGTTAAATGTTAAAAGATTGTTGTATTTAGTACACTTATATTAATGTATTGATTATTTGTTTTAAAAGCTTTGAACATTAAAAAAAAAGTGGCTATCTTTTTGACCGGTAAGAAATTTGTTGAGAATTCATTGTTCATTATGTTTAATATGCAAAAAAAATGTAAAAATAGTGTTTGAGCAACCTATATCAATAGTAATTTTTTGAAGAAAAAAGGTAGGTTGTGTCTCCCTAATTTTGTCATCGGAATGGTAACTCATTTGATCTATTTATTTAATTTCCGACTAATTAAAATTTTGCTTGATTGAGGTGCTTGAAAACACCTTTATTAGAAAAATTAAATTCAAAGCTTCAAGCTGAGAATACTGAACTTAGAAACGAGAATGCTAAAGTTAAACATGAAAATGCAAAATTAAGACAAGCTTTAGAAGGACATGAAACCAGAATCATGAAACTAGAACAAGGAGAAAAAAGTATTACTAATGTTTCACAATCTTTACTCCTGAACAGACAGTTTCATGATATATTGATATCCCAGTATCTGGTATATCTGATAATGCTTCAAATTCTAATGGTGCTCATAAACTGATTGTCATACAAAATGAGAATGCTCTGGCATCTGATAATATTTCAAATTCTGATATATACCAATCTATCTGTACAGAGTCTGAATCATCGGAAGACAAGGAAATGAATGATTTCCTAGATTCAACATATAAAAAAAGGTTAGTAAAGAGGGAATTAGGGAAAAGATACTTCAACAAAACTTATCTTCGGATAATACTTCACCAGGAGAGGTAACACTTGAGGTATCGGTTCCTTCAACTTCAATATTCAGAAATACTGAACTTGGAAAGTCTGTAATTTTAGCCGGGGGCTACTGCCAAAATACTCATAAGAAGAAAGATGCAGAAAAAATTATACAATTGATAGCTGATAGCATTCAGAGTGATGCCCAATCGGGAGACAAAATCACTACTTGCGATGAGATTCCAGCTAGGCCTCCCTGCCAAGATTCATCTATAGTTTTATTGCTTTTCTTAGCTCAATTATTCGATAAAGCAACTGATGCTGAATATGGTGTAATTCGTGCCAATCAGGAAGAGATTTTACACTGGTATTATTATAGAGAAGGATTCTTAATTCAGGTTAGAGTAGTTATACAAGATGGTAATGGAAAAATTGATAAAAAAAGGCAAAGGGGATAATCTATGATAAAATATTGGAATACTTTTTCATTCTCTGTAAAAAAAGATCTGAAGACACAGGTTTACAACTCCCAGAAATTTCACGCAGAAAGCTGTAAAAAAATACAAATTATTTGAAACTTTAAATATAGACAAAATTAAGTATATTACGACTTATAGTGCGAATTCTATTTTAGAGTTAACTAATAATAAAATAGAAAGCCGTAGAACACAAAGAAAAAAAAGTTAATCGAATTTGGTCAGGTGGGTGCCAAGATATCTTTGATCAAAGCTTTTGTAAAATTCAAAACGTCTATCAAATATAAGCTGCAGCAAAATTGTTTACAAACTTTGATCGAAGATATCTCGGCATCTACCTGTCCAAATTTGATCAACTTTTTTTTATTTAAATTATAGAAAGCCGTAGAATTTAAAAAAAAAAAAATGTTTATTGAGTTTAGGCAGGTAGATGCCGAGATATCTTTGATCAACGTTTTGTAAAATTCAAAACGTCTATCAAATATAAGCTGCGCAAAATTGTTTACAAACTTTGATCGAAGATATCTTGGCACCCACCTGACCAAACTCAATAAACATTTTTTTCTTTGAATGCTATGGCTTTCTATAATTTAAATAAAAAAAAGTTAATCAAATTTGGTCAGTTGGGTGCCAAAATATCGTTAATCAAAGTTTGTAAACAATTTTGCCGCAGCTTATATTTAATAAATGGTTTAAATTTTACAAAACCTTTGATCAAAGATATCTTGGCACCCACCTGACAAAATTCGATCAACTTTTTTTTTTTTGAATTCTGCGGCTTTCTATAATTAAAATAAAAAAAGTTGATCAAATTTGATCAGGTAGGTGCCGAGATACCTTTGATCAAAGTTTTTAAAAAAAGTGATCTACATAGAGTGTAGAAATATCAATTCTCTAAAAAAAAATCACATTCTAGTATATTAATTTTATTAAGTATCATTTAAAACAAGTTTGTCTATTTCTTTTTCATTTACAGGCATTAGATAATCATCTGGTAAATGCACCCACTCTTGTAGGTTACTGGTATTATCATCAACCAAAGGCACAAAAGAACAAATTTTTTCTAGAAGCTTTTCTTGTTCTATAAACTCGTTTCTTATGAACTTGAAAAAATTAAAGATTCTTGTGTAACACCCAATAGTTTTAAATAAAAAGGGAATTATGCATAAAGCCAATTCGATGGTCAAATATTTTTTCTTGTCAATAGTGATACAGCAAATAATATCAATTTATCCCCAATTGCTTATATACAATATGATCTGACTTTTTTGACAATTTCAATAGAACAATTGAAATTGTTTGCCAATATTCTGCATAAATTACAAACAGCCATCATGAGTAATTTTTTTGCGTCTCCAACTATATGTTTCTTTTCCGGTTTGTAAGGTGGTCCAGATACTTCAACATATAGAATTTCAGTTGTGTCTGATAGTCTCAGAACTAACAAATTAGTTTTCCAAGTCTTTATGTTAATTGTAAACATATTGCGAGTATCCCTTATGGATTTGACATCCTTTTCAATCCACTCGTATCTAATTTCAAAAAATGCATTCCTAAAAGATCAAAGTATGGGTGAAAGGCATACAATATACGATCTTTGTAACATATCTCGAGCTAACACTTTAGATGACATATATTTATACATCGCGATGAAATCTAGGAGAGTGTACTAGATAAAAAAGAAAAACTGTGATTCCTCGCTCGCTTTCATATTTTTTGCAACCTCAGTTTCGGTTATTACCTTCAAACTAATTTCTACATAGTCCGTTTGAAAAATTGCCTTCAATTTCAAGGTTATTGATTTGTCTAATATCAATTTATTTCTCATTCTAAGAAGCTTTTCGATTTTCTCAAATAAACTTTTATTGATGGTTTCTCTAACTAAATGTAATGTTGAGCTAAATGCGCAAATTATATGTGTAGAAATCAGATTATATATTACTTTCGTTATGATTGGCCTGTTTAACGAAATAACAGAAAAATCCAGATTGTTTAGCAGAGGGTCAAATACTTGAAGCTTGATAGATTTCAAACCAACAAAATAAAAAATGAATGAGAATTGTATATTTTTTATTGTGCAAAAAAAGTAACAAGAATAATTACATAATATGGATCAATGTCTGAGCTTGAAATTTCAGCATAGTTGATTTCTTGTCGTTCTCTCAAATCATACTGTTTCACGAGTTCTTTCTAAAAAACATCATAACAAACGAGTTAGAAAAATGGTTTATACAATTGATCATTTATAGAAACCTACCCCAACTCGCTTTTCATCTAAATTTTGTTCATTATTAATCACTTCCATGCTATTTTCTTTTTGATTATTCTGATAAACATGTCAAAAATAAGAAAGGTAAGAAGTAAATTTCATATTAAAAGCTGGCCATTCAACTACCTCAATATTTGGAGACTGTGATCTGTGATGCTTGTATGTGCGATCATCATCTATACTCTCTAATCATCTTCTTGAACCAAACTTTCTTGCCTATTACGTTGAAGGATTAAGTGTATAGTGAATGTAGCGAGTTCATCCTGTTATAATAAACAAGTTAGTGTTCATGTTTGCGTTGTATCTTGCTATATTGCCAGAATATCTCATAACAACAAAACTGAACATTTGATTTCATTTGTCACTTTCTTCTCTTATGCTAACGTAGCCGTCTTCCAGAAGTTATCAATCAATTTTGACTTTTTTTCCTTCTATTAATAAAAAAAATCAAATTTGTAAGAAACAGAATCACCTGAGTCTCAACTTACAAGCTCCCAATTATAATCAGAAGTAATAGATATTAATGAAAAAATGTGTAAATATCTACCCAAATTGCAACTCAAGCATTCCCGATCGCAACCAAGAATGTTGGGTGGTTGAACACATTTCGTCAAAAACAACCACCCGAATCGCAACTTAAGCATTCTTGATCGCAACCAAGAATATTGGATGGTTGAACACATTTCAGCAGGACGGAACCACCCAAGTCGCAACTAACCATCCCCGATTGCAACCAAGGATGTTGGGTGGTTGAATGCAGATCGCAACCCTATTCAAAAAGGCTATTGCTCTTTGAAACCCATCTACTGCCAACAAAACACCAAAAAGTAATACTTAACTTGTAACAAATTAAGAGCATCGCTAGCCAGTTTAATCATTTTTGGAGATTGTTGTTCATAACTGAGTATACTAGCAAGGCTATGAGTATACTGGCTGTGTTCTTCATGCTTGTCGGCACAGAAATCAGAAAATTTAACAGTGTCCACTCGCGGTCCAAAGTAAAGAAATCAGGATCATCTAACAAGATTCCTAACAGTATAAAAAGGAACTTTAGAAATTACAGAGTTTCAAATAGAGTATGCTAAGAAAGTAAACTTGCCATTGGCTATGTGAGTAGAAGTTAACATGTTTATAAAAAAAACTGTTACGATCAGACTTGCCAATCACTTTTGCCAAGAAAATTATTTCAGAAAAATTATTGTTATACATTACACAAAAAATAAATCTTTATTACAATAAAAATACAGGATAAAAAAATATATATATAGTGAAATACATAAGATAAAGTAGAGTATTCTAACACACCTAAGAGTGCTAATAGTAAAAGTTTTCAGAAAAAAAATATTATTCACAAATTTTATTAAAAAAACTAATATTTGATCTAATATCCATTGTCAAACTAATAAACGCCTTAAATTTTAAAACAAAACTTGATAATTTGAACTTTCAAAAACTATTTAAAAACTGTTATGTGTTGTGAGTTGGGGGTATTTTGACACACTATGCAAATTTGATTAGACCTTAGTGTTAATTATTTAAATTTAGCAAAATTCTATTGCTGACCTCTTCCCTTTAAATTGCTTAGATAGGAAAAAAGAAAAAATAATGTAAGAACTATACAATAAGTCTAACCTTCCCTCAAGTCTTAATCAGAATTGAATAATTTTTGTATCATTCGATCCGTCCTAGTAAAATGAATTGAATGGTACTAAAATTGTTTGATTCTGATCAATATATCGCAAGATATTATAAAAAAACTTAAGTGCGTCAAAATACCTCCTTGTATCAGAATACTCTACTTCACCTTAAGCAGAAATATAATCTATTGTTTTATTTTTTTTGTACATGATACCTTTTACTGTTACTTGCTGTTATCCTGTATTTTAACAAATCACAATGATTCCAATTATTCGTTGTATACTGTTTTGAGAATATTGATATTTTCTTTGATCGCGGTTTTTGAGAGGTTTATTTAATATTTATCCTCGCTAGTACTGTACAATAAAGTCTGTCAGTCGAAAATATTATAAAATGTCATTCCATTGCTAAAAAATAAAATAAGAAAATTAACATACTTGCGGTAACAATCCCATAATGATAGTCATATTCATCATTATTAAAGGCTTGTTCTGCAGTTCTGATTTATCAATTATCTCCTTTATTGGTACAAGAAGCTTGGAAGCGCCTTATTTCTTGTAACAAAACAATAATGAAAAGAAGACCTATGCACACTTTATGCCATTTTTTTATATTCTACACTACATTAGAAATAAGGTAACCATTAGGCATGTGGAATGTGCATTGGAGATCTCAACACCTTTGGTATTGCAACGTAGAGAAGGATTGCTATGTATTACACTTCACTTGACTACCTAGTAGAACCTTTAGTAAAACTAAAACTAGTGCTCGGCAAAATCGGGTAAAAACTTGATTTTCGAGTTTTCGAAAAAGTTGGGCATTTATCGGTTATACAAATCGGGTATTGGAAATAAAATTTATTTTTAGTATTAAACTTTGAAATAGCAATAGTACTGTAGTACTTAGTGCTTATATATGTTATATATATATATAAAAAATACAGAAGTTTGTATATACGTATTTATTTTATTAACAGTTAATAATTTATTTTATTTCTAATAATATTTTAGATCCGCCACAATCTATACCCTACTTTTACTTAATCGCCATTTATTTTTCGCTCACATAGTGGCAACAATTTGTAAGACCAACTCACTTATGTTACAGATCTTGGATTGTCTATAGTCAGATTCAACACACTATAACATTCCTGTGACTTTGCTTATAACTCTCATGTTATGTATTCCATGTTGCTTTGCCTGTTTAAACCACTTCACAGACTTGACGATTAGTATATAGAATTTTATAAAGTAAGTAAATATACAATAATTAAATATTTAATTTTTTATTACACGTTTTAAAAAGCAATTTATAATTATATAGTTAGTTTTAGGTTATGTGAATGAGGCTTTGATGTGCGGAATGTCAATAGAAGAAGAAAAGAGATACTCAAAAATATTGGCTAATTTAAATCATCAAAAAGACATGTTTTTTCAAAACATTAGTTATGAATTAAATTCATATCCTTTTTTTTATTTTTTTGTAAGGTTTGTTCAACAATTAAATATGCTATTTCTAAATATAATAGCAGGCGACATTCTTTTACCTAGTATTATCCTTATATTTGTTGCGACTTTTGATTTGCCCCTAAATTTTGGTCTAATTATAGGTGCAGTGAGAAGGAGAAATTTATGGAGTTATGCCCTATATTGTGTCAGAAGTTTATCAGGTGAGAACTAGTTTACACAAGCAGCAATATTTATAGGTTTTGTGTCATTATAGCAGAAATGTCAACTGAGCAAAGACCTTATAGCAATAATGGCTTCGATCGTTCTTCTAGTTCGCAAAGGGTACAAACTCTCTCAAAATTTTGGCAAGTGGTTTTATTATGCTTATCACAAAATCTGCTAATGATTAAGGGTTTAAAAAGGGATAAGTTGAAAGATTCTAGATTTTTTTTTTCTTGCTTTCGAAATTTGTTTACTATTTTTCAGTATATATAGCTGATATAACCATAGAATTATTTTTATTCTTTAGACGCACACTTTGCTTCTATTAGAGTGATCAAATTTAGGAAGCTCCCAATGTCTTTTAATGGACACTAAACTTGGAGTAGAGATTTGCAAAGAATCACGACCAGAGTTTGCACCTGGAACTCAAATGCTATATTGAATTGGCTAAGTAATACAGTTAGATAGGAGAACGACTCTATTTTGTAATATTTATATTCTAGTAAGTAATTCGGAGCTTAAACTTATACCGGGTTGAATCTCTACTTGGGGCAGTAGATTTTTCTTGCTTTCAAAATTTGTTTACTATTTTTTCACGTAATTCAGTATGCATATCTGATATAACCATGGAATTATTTTTATTCTTTAGACGTCTTTAAAGGATCACGACCAGAGTTTGCGTCTGGAACTTAAATGCTATATTGAATTAGCTAAGTAATACGGTTAAATAGGGGAATGACTCTATTTTGTAATATTTATATTCTAGTGAGTAATTCAGGGCTTAAACTTATACCAGGTCGAATCTCTACTTGGGGGCAGCTATGAGTAAGTGGTTGGCTTGATAAGATAGCTAGTTCAAATGATAATGAAATTAAAAAGCAAGTCTTAAAAGCTGATGAAGTTGTTAAATCATTGCTGATATTAAAACATCCTGATGAATTGTATACTAGCAAAATTATTAGTACAAAATTAATTTCAAAGATATTAAAAGGTATCTATTTTCAATTAATAAATTTGTTTTTTTTATTTTTTTGTAACAAGAAATTTTCATTGTAGAGATTACGACTAACTAACTACTAGTAGTGTTTAGGTTGACTGAATTCAAATCTATTACTGAAGTTTGTTAATTGAACTAGAAAAAGTAAACTTGCCTATATGTATGCTGTTATAGGTCAGGTAGTAATAATTTATGAGTGTTGCGAAGTAAAAACAAAATGTATTTGGAATAATCTATTAGTGAGTGGATTCATAAATTAATTATTATACTTAAATAAAAGATATAATAAACAAAAAAATAAAAAAATTTAAGAAACTTTTACGTTAAAAAAAAGTTGAACTTCTTGTTTATTTATTTATTTGATTAATCGCAATTGCTTTATATATTTTCATATAAATTCAATAAATAATCATTATGCATGATTATCGTAAGTGATCATTTGCGTGATCATCATAAGCGATTATTTGTGTGATTATTATGAGCGATCGTTATGCGCATAAATATCATGAGCGATCATTATGCGCAAAACGTTATGTATGGTTATTTCGAACATTCGTATTCACAATTGTCATGCGTGAACGTTATGTATGATCATCGTGAGTGATCATTATGCACAAACGGTTATTGCAAGTGGTCATTATAATGTATAATCGTTATACACAATTTTGTTAGACATATTTAAATAGAGAAAAAAAGTTAAAAGGCTCGATTTTTGTAATTTGGTTATTAACAAATAAAATTGCATAATTTAAATATTAAAACTAAATTCAAATAAATTTATTACATACTTGTTATCCTATTTTAAACAATGGCTTCTTCTTATTATGCTAATACACCTTCTTCTGCTAATTCACCTTCTGCTAATATACCTTCTTCGGCTAATTTACCTTCTTCGGCTAATTCACCTTCTTCTGCTAATTCACCTTTTTCGGCTAATTCACCTTCTTCTGCTAATTCACCTTCTCATACACCTTCCACTAATATATCTTCCACTAATACATCTGTCCCAATCGTACCAAACACTCTACACGTTTTAAACAAAAGTCCAGTGTGGCTTTTCTTTGCTTTATCCGGTTTAAAAAATAGTAAATTGAAAGCAAAATGCAAGTTGTGCATTAATAAAGAAACGTACCTCATCGTAAGCAAAGGTTCTACTTCTAGCCTACGCAGTCATATTACTAATGTTCATAAAGTTAATATTGTGGAGGCAGTTAGTACTAGAAATTTTTTGGTTGTGTCTAAGCCTGGTGAGCGTATTCTTAGAGAAGCATTAGTCAAGTGGATTACAGCCGATGGTCATCCTTTTACCACTATTGAATCGGAAAGCTTTAAAGAGTTGGTTAAAGTGATTAAAAAATTAGATAATGATATTACACTTCTCTCTGCCAGGACAATTAAGCGGGATTTGTTAAACCGATACTCAGAACTGAAAGAATCCGTAAGAGATACTCTAATAAATAACTCGAGTAAGATATTTTTTACAACCGACATGTGGACAAGTAGTTCGTGTAAAGCTTTTATGGGTGTCATGGCACACTAGATCAATGAAAACTAGAAGGTCAAGTCACAAGTTTTTGACCTTGCACCTTTTGATAGAGCACACACTGGAGTAAACATGGCAAATACTTTATTTAGTATTTGTAATGATTTTGGTATTGTTAATAAAATTTTGGGAATAACTATTGATAATGCTGCAAGTAATAATACATTACTTGAAGCATTTGAAGTCCAGTATAGAGATAATGGTGGCTTCTTTATCAAACAACAAGGTCATGTCTGTTGCATAGCTCATATTATTAATCTTGCTTTGCAAGATTTTTTAAGCCACCTAAATTCAGAAGCACCAAATCAAGATGAAGATGAACTTCATATCTTAAACCAACCCACCTCCCAAACTTCAACTGTCAAAAAGCTTCAAAAGCTTATCACCAAACTTCAGAGTTCGCCTCAGTGTCGCAAAAGATTAAGTGACCTATGCCAATCTTATCAAATACAATTTAGCACTCCAATTCTTGACTCCAAGACCTATTGGAATTCAACACTTAACATGATTGAATGCACCATTACCATGGCGCCAGCAATCAATGAGATAATTGATGGAATTCAAGAGTTAAATGAATTCAGTTAGTATTTTATTTTAATTTTAAATAATCGATTTAATAATTTTGGCCCAACTATTAATCGATTAGCCAACTAATCGATTTATACCACTAAACTAAATCTTTTATCAAAAGAATGGAGTATGCTTGAAGAAATAACTTTATCTTTAAAAACTTTTTACGACGTCTCTGAAGATTTGTGTGGTGAATTCTACATAATGATGCCTTTTGCTGTACCAGCCTTTAATTTAATTATGGATGATCTTGAAGATTTGGAAATGAAATATTCATCAAAGCAGCCCTTGATAAATTAAAGCTCTATTATATAAAGTGCGATAATCCAATATATGCGATATCAACTTTATTGGATCCAAGGTTGAAGACAACTTTATAGAAGTTGCAAATTTGTTACAAATTAGTTATATAATTATTATAATTTTTTTACAATTTATTTTCTTAATATATAGAAAAATTTTGGTTTAATATTGTATTTAAGTTATAACAAAATTGTATACAAATAATATTTATATAGTTGTAAACTGTTTACCAAGTTTGCTAAAAAATCATTACAATTTGTTTTAATATTGTATTTAAGTTGTAACAAAATCATATACAAATAGCATTTATATAGTTGTAAACTGTTTACTAAGTTTGCTAAAAAATCTTAATAATATTGTTACAATTTTGTTTTAATGTTGTATTTAAGTTGTAACAGTTGATTAAAAAATTTTCTAACCGGTTAGTTGGAAAGTTGTCAACTATCTGGTTTTCTAATTAACGTTTTGGAACACTACTACAGTATACTTTTAATTTGTTTTATGTGTTTATAGCAAATTTATTAAAAAAAGTATTTAAAACAATGCAAGTATTATACTTTTTTGCCAAAATTTAATAAAACATTGAACCCAATATAAAGTAAATAAAAATGTCATTATCTGAAGACAATTCTAGATACAAACAAAAAAAGTTCAATATCACTGTCCAAAATATAAAGGGAAATTAGTTGATCAAATAATGAAGCAAAAGCATATTGGCCTAGCAAATATTGGTAAATCTACTAAAACTAAAAAGTTATTATCAACTAAATATAAATGTGAAGAACTGCTTCCTAACTCCCAAAACACAAAAGTTCAGAAAGTGAAGATTCTCATACTAAATATTTGAATAGCAGTATTTTTGAAAGTGATGAATATAATGAAGATCTGCTACCAAAATTCTTAGAAAGTGAAAGTGAAAATACAGGAAATAAAAATATGAATAATAATAGTTTTGAAAATAATGAAAGAAATGATTCAGAAAGTGATAAAGAAAGTACAACTAGTAAAAAAGATAACTTTGATGAAAAATTGTTAATTTTTAGAAAATCAAATAAAAGAAAATTTATTAAGATATTAGGAAATACACTACCATTTGATATATATCAACTATTAGATAAAGATGATCCTATGACAATTATAGATAAAGAGCCAGATTTTCAAATGCTTCAAAAGATTTAGCAAGTAAATCTTCAACAACTTACAAGAATTGACTTTATTCCACTAGAAATCGATCCTGAAGTTTTTGACCCACCTTTTAAATTAAAGTTAATTTGAATAATTGGATAACTTTATAGGTTATGAAATATCAGCAAAGATTTAACATACCCAATACCAGAACAGGAGCACTAACAAAATTCATATATTGTTTTTAAAATAAACAAAGCTGATATCTATATTTACCTTAAAATCATCTTTAGGTATTTTAACTAAATATAAAAAATATGCTATGTCCGAAATATTATACACTTTATAATCTATTAGAAATTAAGTTTATAAAAAAAATGATCAACCAGCATATAGGTTAGTATATAGCAAAAAGGGGCTTCAGGACAAATTTTTTATTTGTAGATATTGATATTTAATCAATTAAAAATATAGATAAAAAAATACTGTATATAAAATTGTACAAATTTTATTATGCTAATGTGGGCTAAAAAAATTTACTGTAAATAAATCACATATTTAGAAATATGATCCGGTAAAAATCTTAACCTTGATCAAAATGTCTTTTTTTTTTTAAAATGCATCTAAGCGTACTTTATTTATATTTATTTATTCAATTATTTAGTAGCTAATATACATAAATTATGTTTGGGGTTTTATAAATTCTAAAATGGTCTTGCCATTACAAGGTTTTTTACCACCCTTAAGGCCCACCATTCTATGTAACAAATTAACTTTAAATTTTAGTTTAATTTTTATGCTGTTTGTAATTGCCAATTGAGGGATAGTATTGTTCTCCCATTTAGCCTGTATGTACCAGCACTATATTTCGTACACACAAATAATGTGTAGCCAGATTGCGGCCTCGCATTTTTTGTCACCTTTGACATTAGTTGTCTGGAAAATATCTGTTAGTGTATGAGGAGTTGTTTCATTATCTGATGTCTTGAGCACTTTATAGGCTGATTCCCAGATGGTTTTGCTAAGTGGGCATTTTAGTGCAAAATGCTTAATGGTCTGCATATAATACGGACAGTTGGGGCAATCACCAGGGTTGGCTGAGTTAATATGAAGTAATCGGTAACCAAGGAGTAGTACCCTGTGCATTAAGCGCCAAAATGTATCTTTTTTCTTGTTTAGGTTCCATTTGGATTTGATCTATTTAAATTGGGATGTTGTTGTGTTGAACTGTTTTGGGAGCTAGCTGGTTCGTATAGGCATTTTAGAGTCCATCGCACTGTGAAGTATTAGCTCTCAGTACCACCCAAGTTAATATTCTTTAGTTCCCAAGGCCAAGTCCCGATGGCTTCGATTTTGCCTTTAAATTTTCTCCAGGCATTTAAATATAGCCACCATCTTTCTGGCCAGCCCTTGTTTTTGCAGAGGTTTTGTAATAAGACTTCTTTAACTGTGGCTCCTCTTTTGTTTACTGAGATTCTTTCTCTTTCTGAGGTTGCCCAAAGAGAGTAACCAGATAAAAGCTTGAGCCAAATTGATAGGAGTCTGGTATTAAGCATGTCTTTTAGAATCGGGGCACCCAGGCCACCTTTTTCACAACTCAGCTAAAAGGTTAAAAACTGAGGAAGTGTTCGTGAACTGTTTTTAATCAATTTTCTAATCAAAGTTTCGATTTCCTTAAGTTGCTTTCTTGATGGTGGAAGTAAGTAAGTAAGGTACCATAATTTGGACACCAGAAGTGTTTTAGCTACAAGGATTTTCCCTCTAAAAGATAAATTTCTTTTGGAGGTCATCAATTTTTCTTTTAATTTTCTTTGTCATCTTACTCCAGAGATTTTTATTGGGGTTTCCTCTGACATCTATACTGTATCCTAAAATAGTGAAGTATTCCTGATTGTTGGCTGGAGCTTTGAAGCTGTGTTGTTCTGGAAGTTCAATCCTGCAAGTGTTGCTTGTAATTGGTATGAGTATTGACTTACTCCTGTTGATGACTGCATTAGATACTTTTTCATAGTCCCCAAGAGTTTTAAGGAGTACTGTTCAGTCTGTAGGAGAGCCAATTCCGATGGATAGGTCGTCTGCATATACAGCTATTCTAAAGTTCATACTGTTGATTGGAATGCCTCTGATGCCTTGAGAGATACCATGTATTAGTGGGTTAATTGCCAAAATGTAAAGAGAGGAGAGTGGGTTTTCCTAACTTACCCCTCTCTCAACCCTAATTGGCTCAGAGATTTGTCCCAAGTCAATTATGTGCACTACCTGCGAAGAAAACAGAGCCATGATAACTCTAATGAATTTATGGTCGAAGTTCATTTTTTCTAGCACTATGTTTAAAAAATCATGACTGACTCTGCTGAAGGCTTTTTGTTGATCCAGTAGAAGAAGCCAGTGTTGCTTAGTTTGGTCTTCCCGGCTTCTTAGTGTTGTAAGAACGTCCATTGCTGAGTCCGTGATTGATCTATTAGCAATAAAAGCCTGCTGCACAGAGCCAATAATGTTGTTACAGATTGGGTTAATCCGGTTTGCTAAAATTTTCATAAAGATTTTTTGTATCTGTATTGACCAATAAAATTGGTCTTCAATTATTGATATTTTCTAACTCACTATTCTTTTTGGAGATTAATATGATTAGACTTCTGCCTCATAACCTTGGGATCTGGTCCATGCTGAGAACCTCATTAAAAATCTTGGCTAGAATTGGAGTAATTGTCTCCTTAGTGTCCTTACAAAATTCATATGTGAGGCCATCAGAGCCTGGAGCCCTGCTATTAGGAAGTTTACTAATTATTTGAGCAATTTTCTCTTCAGTAATTAACTTGGTCAAAGTATAGTTTTGTTCTGAGGAAACCTGCACTAGATTTTCTATAATATGAAGAGCTATTTCCTTATTAATAGCTTCCTTTTTGTAGGTCTTTTGGTAGTACTTTACTGAAACTATAAAAAAATAAAAATATTATTATTATATATTTATATGTTTTTATTATGTTTTAAAAAACATAATAAGAAGCAACTCTTCCCAATGATCATTTTTACCACAAAAAAAATCCAAAATTCTTAAAAAACTAGCATCTATAAAGGTTGAAACAGACAGGGATGTAGTTCTTAAACTCCATAACTCGACAGTTGTTATTTAGAGGTAGTTATTATACGCTACCTGCTAACTTCCTCAGAGTTTATCACTCACCGCGGGGGCCAGGCACTTGTCGTTTAGAAATAGTTCTTATACGCTATTTGCTGACAAGCCCAGAGTTTATTACTTATCTGAAAAAATAAGGAGAATACCTGCACCTTCCTATGGATGCAGTGTGTTAAGTAAAGAAAATACACACTCTTTTACTAAACAAAACAAAGTGGTTTCATCTCTTTTTTCCGCCTCCTCGCCGCTCTTCCAAAATTTCTCACAAAAGTGGGCAAAACGGTTTACCTCCTTCAAAAGATCGATATTGTTTACACCTCCCAAATCTGGACAGTTCCGGCAGACTGCGATCACGTGTCTGGTTTGTTTTGTTTATAGACCATGCTGCTTCACGTAATACTGAGGTTGGCTACTTACGTCATTTAGGAGTCCAGATGATCTAGTCGAAAATTTTACTTGATAAGGCGAAGCTTTACACTAGTGATATACAAATATCGTATTTGTTATATAATTTTTTTCAGCCTGGCACAGGTACTAGTAATGCTAAAAAAGATAGAATTTTCTGCTGTCTTTTTTGTTTTCTTTTTTTTGTCATTTTTTCTTTTATACATATTACAGTGAATTTAAGTTACATATTAAGTACTATGTACATCACCACTAACGGTGGTGTTCCCAGCTTTTAATACCACATGTTCGGTAACTCTACCTTAGTAGCCCGGGTCCCTGATCCCGCGGTGTAGGGCCCCTGTTCTGAGGCCCGCAGTTTGCCACCTTCAACACGGCCTCATCATTCACCTTTTCCTATTTTGTGACTTTCACACTTTTCTAATTCCATACTAGAGCTTACAGATTCTGCATTCATCTCCTCCCTGCAAACTTATCCCTTTTTCATCTCTGTGTTTCCAGTTTTCAGCTTGTCCAACCTACTCCCATGGCCGGTTTTGGGGCACAGGCCTACTCCCGTATACTTTTCATATTCACTGGTACTTCCTCTTATGGTTGCACCACTTGAGCCTACTCAGGGTCCATTCGAAACGGAAGGGGCCCCCTACAAGAACAAGCAAGTTCTTTCTTCTATTAGCTTCGTGCTACAAGCCTTGATTCCTATTCGGTTTTAAGCTGTAGTTCTAATTCGGGGTTCCTCATATTAACGACTTTCTTTGTGTTGGATTCCTTTCCTTTTCTGGATGCCGCATGACTCTATGTGGCTATGTCTGCAGCTCATAACCTAAACATGGTTCTTTTGCAAAGAAAGATCTCCCGTGGGTTTTGAACTCGCAACCTTACGTTTTGAGACCTGGAAGCGCTAACTACTGCACTACAGACCCACAGAATGTTTTCTTTTTTTTTTATTTCTTTGTTTTTTCTTTTTCTCTTGTTTTTTTGTCGTATTCATTTTCTTTTTGTTTTTAGTATTTTATTTTCCTATTAAAAATGTCACAACTTTTAAATATCGGGTAGTGAAATTTAGTAAGCTTATAGTGATTCTTTTGGGGAGCCATCTAGCAAGTTAGATAAATGAATTATTGTTGTAGCAGATCACACTTGGGCACCATTACGAGCAGCCAAGTGAGTCTTTATTGAAGAGTAGGAGGGTGGAGGATATTGAGTTTATTGCAGGCTTTTTGTTTTGAAACTATGTATTTAGATTACGCACTCCTAATACAATAAAAGCAGGATTGCCAAAGTTTAAAAAAAAAAAGTAATAAAAAAAATAAAAATAAAAAACATAATAATTACTAATGATAATTTAATAATAATAATATAAACAATACATATTAAAACTATTTTAATAATATTATTAAAAATGTTTTAAACCCATTTTTAAACTATTTAAACTATTTTAAAACCAAATTAATTATATTTATAAACTATATTTATTGAGAATTTCTAAAATTACACTAGTGTGTACACACAGGTATTAATTTATTGATTTGCAAATCCATGTAATATATAAATTTATAAAAAAAAACTACTTAATATTAGGGTTAGAGTTAGAGTTAGAAGTTAGAGTTAGGGTTAGGGTTAGAGAGTATTTTATACTAAAATTTTGTGTAAATTATTTTTTGTTAGAATCTCCAAAGTAGTTTCATAAGCAAAATTTTGAGAAATTTTGGGTAATAACAATACCCTGTGTGTACACACTAGTGTACAAATAGCAATTCTCATATTTATTATATTTTAAAACCATATTTACAATTTAAAAACATATTTATAATACTTTAAAAACATATTTATAATATTTTAAAAACATATTTATAATATTTTAAAAACATATTTATAATACTTTAAAAACATATTTATAATATTTTAAAAATATATTCAAAAAAATAATATATATATATATTCAAATAATCATATAATTATACATTTAATAATCAATTTGTATTACATAATTCACAGCAATTACATATCAATAAAACTAACACTAACTATCTAAAAAACTACTAAAACTACTCTAACTACCCTAACTTTAACTAATACAAAACAACAATACAACAACAACCAACAACAATAATATTTTGCGCTTCAATAATGACGATGCCAATGATGAAAATATAGCAAAAGTATTTTTGTAAAAGAAAGAAGAGTAGTAATATATACAAAAATTCACACAAAGCAAGAAAAAAACAACCCAAGATGGAAATATATATACCTAAATACCCACAAAACATAATATCAACAAAGTCGAGGACAACACAATACTAGCAAAACAACGTCAATAAACAACAAATATCTACACCAATAAACCAGCAAATGATAAAAAGCAAACAATAAAAAGCAAACCAAAAACACTAACAACACCAACAATAGTATTTCGTGGCTTCAATAGCAATGACATCAACAACGAAGGTATTCACCACTTCAATAATGACAAAACCAGTGACAAAATATACACTACACCAATGACGACGACACCGGTACTTTTATAAAAGAAAGAAAAGTATTAGTAATGCATACAAAGATTTGTGCAAAGCAATAAAAAAAACAAGCTGATATGAAAGTATATGTATTTAAAATACCCAAGACATAAAGTGAAATGACATCAATAAACTACACTAATAAAAAACAGACACCAGCAAACGAGGAAAAGCGAAACAAAACCACTAACAACACCGACAATGTCCAATAATGACGACACCAATGGCGAAGGTATTCACCACTCCAATAATGACGAAATCAGTGACGAAAATATATACCACACCAATAATGACGACACCAACAGCAAGGGTACTTTCATAAAAGAAAGAAGAGTATTAGTAATGCATACAAAGATTTGTGCAAAGCAATAAAAAAAAACAAGCCGATATGAAAGTATACATATTTAAAATACCCAAGACATAAAGTGAAATGACATCAATAAACTACACTAATAAAAAACAGACACCAGCAAACGAG